GGATGGGACCGATCGCCAATAGGGTCATCAACTATTGCCTGGGCACTAAGAAACTGCCTTTTGTTCAAGCGCTCCCGCCCAGATACCGAAGCAGGTTACAGTGATTGAGGTTTGGTTGTAACAACTAGTTACTAAAAGTGAGATGTTTGTATGTTTGTACGTGAGAAACCAGCGTCAGCGCAGATCTGCGGGAAAAGCAAGATGCATTTTAAGCTTGATGCAACAATTCTAGTTAACAACAACCACCAGACCATCTATAAACATGCCTTGATACCTTCGGTTTCATCGCGGCGATACTGCCTGGTGGGTGTACTGCACCTAAACATAACTGGCCTGCCTTCTTGTTGCCGTAGCGCTGGGGTTGAATTCGCTTGTCCTTTTTCATCGGTCCAGAGAAGCAAACATGCGGCACGGCAAACCTAGTTTCTATCGATAAGGCGAACTCGTGGTTATACTTCCTGATCGGTGAGGATCAAAAGTCCACAGGACTTGTTCCTGGGCCCGGGCGTTGCGCCACCAACTTTGAGTTCGTCGCTGACCTCAGATGGGATGAGTATCTGCATGTGATAAGATGCTCCGCAGTTTCAACGCCCAACTGTCAACCTTGGAGGCACTAAAGCATCTCCATACGCATTCACCAAACAAGCGATTGCCCTGGGGCATAATGCGGTATGCGGTCAGATTAGGAATCAAATCGCGCACTTGATAGCATGGCGCCTTATTACCATCCACCATGAGATCGCTTGGGCGGATGCATGCTAATCCGATACACCACTGGCACTCACTACCAAGCGAGGAGAACACCAAGTCTATCAGACCCAAAGCCGTAAAGTGTTGAAGGATATATCATCTCCTGTCGCCTGCATGCTTGATCAGAAGGATTAATCGACCGCAGCAACTGCTCTTTCTGGACCTCAACACCTGTTGGACTAGGAAAAGGGATTTCGTCACTTGTATGTCGCTTGGGTGAACGGCCATCCTTCCCAAGCGCTTGCTCCCGCTAGGCCCGCGCGTCTAGTCGACACATCATGTTCCCCACTGTCGTCTAACTGGGACGGGGAAGACCAAGGGATTCCCTAGGTTGCGATAGTCTGTTGTGACGACTTAGCGGCTGGTCGTACACGCGTCACTGCTGTCTTGTTAGCTTGGCTCTGTGCCGATGATGAGACTGAAATGTGTAGAATCCAAAGGGAACTTTTTATATGGTGTTGCTGATTGTTTTCATCGAAACTTGCTACAGCGATGAATGCTTGACAGAACTACAACGGAAAAAGCTACAGTCTTGTAAATCAATGGGTCACTAACATTACAGGATGCAAATCTACCAGTCAAACAACTTCTACAGAGCTTGGCTCATGGGTCCTTGAAATTTCTGGATACTCCCTCATTTATTGTCCTCCGGGTTTGAGGAACTCGAGACCGATAAAGGGAAAGATACATGTTCAATACAAACTCACCCTCTGTGTGAGCCCTATGTGGTCATAGGAGTGCATGTTTCATGCATTTCTCCAGTCGTTTCCTTAAGGATGCTCTTCGCTCATTCCTTTTCCATCCTTCCTTAGCTATCCTTGACTCCCCGTTCACAACCTACTTCTCTCCATCCAACAGTTTAACCCTATTGCGGTTCGCTGCACAACTGGCATACCATCAACCACTGCCCCTTTGTTGCCCAAACTATCTTGCCTCTACATTCAACACATGGTTCTTTCGTAGCGGTGATCACATACCCGTTCTTGTCCTTTTCTCCTTCGTCCTTGTAGTGAATTCCCTTCTCGGTTTGCATGTAGGCAGAAATAGAGGAAGATGGTGCTGATGCACCGCTGTGAGATACGGTTGGTAGTTGTGGTGAAGCTGCTAGAGAATTGGAGGTAGAAATGAATGTAGAGATGACAACGGCAGGTTTGTCTGAAGTTTTTTGCGCCGAAGTCTAGAGATGAGAAGAATGCTTCAGGGGCGTCTGATTGATACTGGTAGGACATGGTGCTGGTATTGGTAATATCGGAGCTAAAGTGGGTTGGATGTTGTAAGCATGTGCCCAAGATGTGTTATAAGGACCTGAGAGTAAGGTTTTTGGTATACTAGTGGCTCAGCGGGGTATTAACCAAGGCTCTTACATTGTTTTGGGGTCGAGCAGGTCTGAGACGATCAGAGCGGAGTAGTGAATATATGGTTGCGCTGTTTGGAGATTGACCAGCCGTGCATTGGGTGTGTATACTGCCACTAATTTTCCTGATTGGATTTTCATTTGAGTAAGCAAACAAGTCTAAGAAATAACGGACATGTCTTTTTCGTGAAGCGGCGGACGTTGAACGCGAAATGATTGCATAGCATAAGGTAGTAGAGAAGAGTTGAATACTGATATCTAGGTATACCCCAAAATCTCATTTAGCTCGTATACACGCCTCACTCTGCCCGTAGCATCGCCTTGCATTCAAATTGCTTAGGAATCTCTGTCATCCTTTTAGGTACATTCTCAATTAGGAAATTGGCAGTCGATACATTCAACAGTGAATTTGGACGGGGTAGGCGGCGGGAGAGGAGCGTCACAGTTCCAGCAGTGACCAAAAGATGCATCTTCGTCCTCGGTATCGGAGTCATCACCATCAGAGACGTAAGGAATGAGGAGTTCTGTCTCTGATTTTGAACTTCGTTCTGTTTTGGATGGTCCGTTCGGTCTACTTTTGGCGCACTGTTTATTTACAGTTTTGGTTTTTGTTACCATTGGAAGAGTGAGCTGGCGCGTATGAGTGTGGGAATGATGTGGAGAACTACCAACCCGGGTATCAAGATAGCGAGACACGGACAGGGTTATGTAGCTGGGATTTGTGATCGACTCGCATTGTGAACGCTGGTATGCAATAAGTAACTATATCTTCACAGCTGTCATCGACCATGTATCAGTTAACCACATACGTAGCAACTCAGCTTGTCAAACTGAGACTTTAACGTGACATAATGCATCGCTAGCTAGAGGCCATGATGATCGAGACACTCGTGGTGACGGACTGAGTTTGTTGTCTCAGAAGATGTTGCGCTGCGGCAGCGAAATAATAGGTACACAGTAACTGATCAGTAGACCACACAGTGAATGGACTTGATGTATATATACCGCATAGCTCCCAACAACTTCTTACCAACAACACATACCTACCAGCGAGATCATTCAACTCCTTTCCAAACACCTGAAAGTTTCCAAGGATCCTGATACCAACACCAAACGAACCACTATGTCTGACTCGACCAAATTCACAGATAAGGAAGGCAAGATCGGAGCAGATCACTCGCCATCAAAATGTGTGGAAATCGATTACATTGGCATCCTTGAGCCGACATGTAAGAAGTGCGGCAATCCGTTACTAGGAGCGAATCTTGGGGCGGGCGGGGCATCCTTGAAGTGTAAGGGGTGCGGCATTTTGGGCGTCTATTCGGCATATAATGCCATACACAAGAACATGTAAGGAGATAATGGGCTGATCCCAACATATGTACACATGAAACCTGGTAACTAGAGAGATGCAAGTCGTGTAGTCGATTCGTGTAATCGTAATCTTGCCGTGGGAAAGCATCCTCATGAGTCCCTCAATTCTGCTGCGGCGAAATAGCCTTTACTTTCCACAACACCCCTATCTTTGACAACGGCGGTGTATTTGACTACCCACTGCGGCTCAACATCGCCCCTGAGACCCTCATCGTTTCCATTTCCTGCCAGCACACCCGAACCCTCTTCGCCTGATCCAAGTATTTGTCGTAGTGTCCCGCGTGGTAGGATGTTGGTGCAGTCGTTATGTGTCAGCAGCTCGATTTGCTGTTGCTTAGCATATAGTATCAAGGGTTTGGGCACAACACAGCAGTCCCTGACATTGATCTGATTCACACTTGGTTTTATCTTTGTTTGTTCGAGGAACTTGGTTAGGCGCGCGACGCCGAATTCTGCAATTCCAAGTTTCGATACGAGACCTTCTCCATGGAGTTTCTCGAGCGAGCGCCATGTTGTTACCATGGTTTCTATGTCTTCTGGTGGTGCCCCGGCTTCGGGACAGTCGCCCGCAGTGTTCTCGGAGGTGGATTGTGTCGCAGATGGGGGCGAAGGCGGATCGTCATCGTCGAGATCGGAATCTTCATCGTCGGCGTCGAATGTTATCCCTGGGAAGCTTACGATCAGGAGATCTATAGATGATGTACCCAATTCCTTCAGCACGAGCTCTATCGCTTCCCGTGTTTGCGCGCAGCGCCGGTCTGTGGGTATGTTGGGGAGGTAGAATAGTTTGACCGTGATGTCGTATGATTCTCGGGGTTCAGCAAGAGGTGATGGTGTATGCGTGGGTACATATAAGGCTGAATCGGCCTTGGTGGTCCACGTTGCGTAGTTTGTTTTTGAGGGCGATGGAGAGGGTTGGTGGGCGGCGAAGTTTGCGCGGAGGGAGGAAGTGAGTTCGGTGTTTGATTTCTCGAAGAAGGGTCGTCTTATCACGGAAGGACCACCGGACATGGTATTCCTGTGTTGTTAGGTACCGTCTTGGATGGTCTGAGCAAGACATACGAGGTAGAGAGTATGAGCTTCATGATGGTGGTTGGCCAGCGCAAGAGGCTGAACAATGACGCAAGATAGAAGGCCTCTGACGACGAAAGCTTATTGTGTGTGTGTTCTGGGGTGGTGACTCTTCGGGGTTATTCGAGTCGCGAGACGGGGACGGTGAACGTTTGTCAGCGGGTGGGCCGTCTTAGGAAAGCAGTCGCGTCGGATTTTCAGTAGCGCGGAAAGGCTGAATGGCAGATGGGAACAAAGCAGAAAGCGAGAATCAGAAGCGCATGCGCATAAAGCCCATTGGGTATATCTACAAATTTGGATGGCGATAGCGGGGATATGGCAATGGACGAGGCGCATTGACGTCTCAAAGTCGCGGGGCTGGCCTGTGACCGCCGATCGCCGAACCTAACATCTTTCCCCAAGCAAGTGCACCAGACACGACGCTACCGGCATCTTCTCCTCACACGACACCATGACAATCAAGTAAGAGCTCTGCTGTGCTATTACATGCCATGGACTGTAGTGACTGACAGTTGTAGATACCTCATTCTGCTGTCCCGGCAGGGCAAAGTGGTTGGTCCCTCACCCTAGAATCACAAGTCCCTCTGCTGAAGCTCGTAGCGCCTAGCCAAGTGGTTCACCACACTCGCCCCCAAGGACAAGGCCAAGATTGTCAAAGACGTCTCGCAGCTTGTCCTCGCCCGCCGCACGCGCATGTGCAACTTCTTAGAGTACAAAGGTCAGTGGGTCCCGCAGGGGTAATAGCTTCGCTAGCTCACACATTCTGCTAGACACCAAGATCGTCTATCGCCGATATGCCTCGCTCTTCTTCATCGCCGGCTGCGACTCGACCGACAATGAGTTGATCACGCTCGAAATCGTCCACCGCTACGTCGAGCAGATGGACAAGTACTACGGCAACGTCTGCGAGCTCGACATCATCTTCAACTTCCAAAAGGCATACTTCATCCTCGACGAGCTGCTGCTTGCGGGGGAGATGCAAGAGAGCAGCAAGAAAAACGTGTTACGGTGCATTGGACAGCAAGACAGCCTCGAAGATATGGAGGTGAGTGAAGTGTGATGACTTTCGGGTCCGCTTCGCCGCACACCCATAGCACCAGCTGGCTGACGCGCCGTGTCGTCAGGCTGAGGACGATATCGTTACCAAGATTATGTAAAGCGTGTACGGAACGCACCATTACACAACTCGTCTTTTGGTCCTCTGTCACCGACCGTCCCAAGAGCCCTCACTGACCGCGCCTGATGGCTTTCCAGGATGCGGATGACTTCAAAGGCCGACTTAAAGAGAGCGGCATCCTATGAGACCGGACCCGGTTTGCGCATACGAACACATGCTGTACGGCGTTATTGGAGTATGGGAGTAGGCAGCACGACACACAGTCGTGCGTTGCGACACGGTTCATCCGCTTCATTGCTAAAGATCTTCTCAAGGGCAGGCGTCGGAGCAACACGATATCACACGGCGCAGGGAGTCGGATCATCTGGAGAACGCACTACCTGCCATCCTGCCTTGTAGAGCGGATGGCGGTAGCTGTACTCTATCTACTACAATTCAAACACCTCGGACTGGCGGGCTTGCTCGACACAGCTAGGTTTGACACAAGCAGCTCATGGGCTCGAACGTGATTACACATCATGATATCGAGACTTCGCCCTTGATAGACTTGATCATTCTCTCTTGTTGCTTTCTTTTTTCTTTATGCTGGTTTACTTACCTTATCCATCTAGCTACAGGTCTCCACACCACCTAGGCACTGCACATCGTGACAGCAATTGGTTCGGATCAACGTTTGGTCCTTCATTCAGAACCTTGACATGCATACATCAAATGAAACGCTGCCGAATCCATCTGGGTTCATTGCCAGGCAGCTTCCTGTCCTCCTTCACGTGCTCGAACAACATCAGATGACATGCTCAGACATATTCGGTACCAAACACAACTAACATCATCGCTCAACACCAGTCGTCTCTCGCCAACTACCCATCCGGCCTTATCGGCAGCTGTTGTTGGTTGAGGGCTTGGTGTTGCATCGACCAATCAGGAAGGAAGACCCGACACACATGCCGCTGTTAGCTCGGCGACACCGCCAAGCTGACCTTCTCCGCAATCGCGACCACGTCGTAAGAGCGACACCGACATCTCACACCACATCTACACCCAAGCCATACATATGTCCACTGCCTGCTAGACGACTGTCTGGCCGAACAACAGTACCCTCTCCTCTCTGCAGCCAGCCTAGAGTCGTGTTTACTGGTTGTATCGGTTCGCGCAGGCTACCCCCTCCCGACCAACACATCACCTCCACCAGCAGCTACGGCCCGCTGAAGTACTCTCTTATCTCAAAGATCCTGGATCATACGCGACATATTCCACAAGAAATATTCAGGCAATAGGAACCTACAGCAAGCACAATGAAGGTACGTACACGATGCAATAAGGCTGGAGGCTATGACGCAGCTAACCCGGTGGGACCGCAGTACCTCGATTTGTGCGCCCTCCACGAGGTCAACCTCGCCCTCAACTTCGACACGCAAGATACAGCCATCATCGGCGGATGCGATCTGTGGACGATAAAAGCAGCCGGTAGCGACAAGAAACTATACAAGCGCATCGAGCGGACGCTCGAGGAGCGACACAAGGACTTGCTGTCGGCGGTGGCAGGGCTCTCCGAGCAATCTGCCGCTCAGTTTGCAGACCAACTCGATGTCTCTCGAGACACACCATTCGGAACCTTCAGCGAAGCCGCGAACCGTCATACATTTGCCTACCTGATCGCGACGCTCAACGCAACCCACATCGATTACGATTTCGCCAACACACTGAACCCGGACGAGTTCCGTCGCGAGACCATACACAGCTTCATGCACAAGATCGATACAACAATGTACTACCTCCGCCCACAAGTTTACTCTGCAGGACTACCAGCAGGCGCAGTCACACCGCTTGGCTCACCGATCTGGAGTCCACGGAGTTGGCACCTACTTGATAGCGAGATGGAGATGTCAAACTGCGAATACTATGCATGGGAGCCTTCAGATGACCCATTTGCCGACGACGGCGCCATTTGGAGTCACCACTTTTTCCTGTACAACAAGGAGCGTAAGCGAGTCGCATACTTCTACCTCCGCGGAGTATCCGCTCTGTCAAACTCGCCTAGTGTCGCCATGTCGCTCATGTCCAAGTTCAAAGCATCGAAATACGAGTCCAGCGCCAACGCAGGAAGCAGGAAGCGTGCCGAGTACTGGCTCGGTGACCGTGCCAGGAAAGGACTCGAGGCATACGGAGACAGTGACGAGCTCGACAACATGGTCATTGATCACCCTGGTGATGTTGTCGACGCTGAACAACAACGGTACCTACCGGCCAGGGAGATGAGTATGGATGCCGAATACTACGAGAGTGAGGACGACAGCGATGTTGAGTCACTGGTCGATCGAGAGAGGGCTGTGAGCAAGATACGGTCGATGAGCGAGTGCGCCATGGAAAGGATGGAGGTCTGAGCTCCCATCCGTCTTCGTCGGCCGCCGCCACCTTGAACCAGGTGGGATTGATGGCACTCAACATGCCAAATGGCTCTTACAACGAGCTGCGTTCTCCTTGTTTGATTTGCAAGGCGGCATTTGAGGCGTTATGTGGTTTGTCTTTTTGTCTGTTTTTACAGTTGTCTGGCATCTCTTCACCGGCTCGTGAGAAGACGACCATGACTGACACAAGGCGTTACGGTCGGTGGGAGCGATCGCGTTATAACGTCCTTGTTGCATATCGTCTGAGCCTTGAGATACCCCCTTGTCTATGCGTTCTTTTTTGTTAAACTGTTTTCGTTTGTTAGCTGTTTGCGTATTTGACAAATGGTATAGTGATGGGTCACTGCGAATGATGAAATGACATGGTCGGGTGACGAAGGTGTACATGACGTTGCGGTTCTAATGGTGTATTACAATGTTCATCAATTAACAGTAGCCTCCAAATCTCAACTCGAAAGTGTCATGTGTGGGTACGCAGGCAAAGACACATCACACGTCACACGTTGCACAAGTGACTGCGTCTTGAAGTCTGGAACCCAATGTTTTTAGTATTAGCTTATCTGCCTTCCATCCGTTTCTAAAATTCAGAGATTACAATAGCAACCATGCGATATTGGACGAGTCATATCGAACTAATATACCTTGCTGGCCACAATGTACACGTCTCCTGCCAGCGCGAAGTTTGACAGCTTGGAAGCCTGAGCCCTATGCACTAAGCACGTTGAGCAATCTCTCGTTTCGCTTGTTGTACACCACCCAGTGTCATGTAGTGGTCACGACTGAGGTGTTCACAGCATAATAACGAGCTGAGCGCTTTTGGTATGGCAGCATAGGAGAAACACAACATTCAAGAGTGGAGTACATGTTTTGTTTGTCAAAGCAAAGACGACCATACCAATTCTGCGCTTTGTTTTGGGAAAGAGAAAGGGAAGGCCATTGTCTGTCCTTCTCCCATTTTCGGTAAAATCCCTTTTAAGAATATAGTGGAAAGTGAAAGCAGGAAGGGATCAGGAGAGAGGCAGCATATACACCACTAGGGTGGATAGGTCCCAGGTGCTCATGTATATGAAGCTCCCGTTTTTAGTTTCATGAGAAGACCAACAGAAGCTTTTTTCTGCGCAGCTCCGAGGTGAGAAAAAACATGTACGAGGATACTTCAAGTTTTGTCGAAAGAGCGCCTCGCTGCTCATGGACCATATCAGAATGTGCTTTGGAACCAGGCACACATACATGTTGAAGAAGTATGGGATTTTGGAAATAAGAGGAGAGTGTGTGATAGAGAAGAGAACGAGGAGCAGTCAAGGGGAGGTGTCTTTATACTCAGTTGTACACTCGACTATGCACTTTAACTCTGGCCGGGCACGCACATCTTGCTCTATATCATTCTTTCCTGTCCACAGGGCGATGAAACTGCACTCAATGCTGTCCTCTTAGCTTGAATCTTCGAATAAGACATCTGGACTTTGCAAACTTACTCCCAAATCATAGTGGTACGTTATCTCTTTTTGAAAATTGGACAAAGATAGCAAACCGTATATGAACCGGGTCAGAGCAGATTCATTAGCTGTTGGAATGTAGGTGCTGAGTATTGGGTACGTTGGATAATATGGAAGAATGTTTATATTGCTTCTAACCGAGCAAGGCCAATTCGACTTGCTCCATTGCACATGAGTTTAGATTGGCCTGTTTTGGAAATCAACACGCTGATGAGAAGCATTTCGTTGTCTTTTTTTTTGGAGCAGAAAGAGACACAAACATGCTAGGTGGTGTCTGGCGTTTTGATGAAAACACACCAAGTGGTAGTGATAACAAAGACAGCAAGACTGATATGGGAAAGGTAGCTTTTGTACTTCAACCCTCTCAAAGTCGTAAACAATACTGAAAGAGTACCAGCTAGTTCACCAAGTCCTACAGGCGTATGCCATGGCCCTTGAGAACCATTGTTCGTGACTTACAACGGCTCATGGAAGGCATAAGAGCTGCATTTGAAGCAGCTTTACATGCAGGACCAGCAGATTGTAGTACTAACGTCTCCTCCAAAGCTGGGCTACATCACACAATCACCATATGAAGTCAACACTTGTTATTTTTCAATGTGTTTGTATTTCTTGATATATACTGAGATACTCAAACAAAGTGAACAACAAAAAAGCAGGACGCCAAGTTGAACAAAAGTTCAACCAACTCCCATCAAAAGTCGGTCCCGAAACCACACTATGCGACTTGGGTTAAACAGAAGCCAAATCTATCACAATAACGTTGCCCGCGCTGGGTCGTTGCATTACTCGATCCGACCGAAACCCAAAAAGAGGGTATACATGTTGAAGCGGAAAGAAACACTCGAAGCTCTATCGTAGCAAAACACTCTTACAAGATAAGAGCACCACCGAAGAGCGAGGAGGCGAGGACAACGGCACCGCAGACGAGAGGAGCGAAGCTGAACTCGGGACGGACGGAGGCAGCAGCGCCAGCAGAGCCGGAGGCGCTGGCACCACCGGTGGAGCTGGGAACGACACCGCCGGATGTGACAGCACCGTCACCAGCACCGGCGAGGTTGGTCTCGGAAGAACCAGCCTGCTGGGAGCCTGAGCCGGAGAGACCAGGGCCGTCACCAGCACCCTTCTTGAAAAGGTCGTTGGCGCCAGAGGGAACAGCAGGGAGCTCGTCGCTCTTCATGGTGACATCCCAGGTCTTGGACTGGTCGGGGCAAGTGGCGGGCTGGCCGTTGGACTTGTAGCCACCGTCGCCAGTGGGGTTCTTGGTGGAAGAGAAAGCCTCCTTGAGGGCCTTGAAGTCGTCGCGCTCAGTAACGGAGTCGCCGTTGATCTCAACAAGTCCGTAGTTGGAGTCTTCCTGGGAGTATTCGTAGACGAGACCTCCAGAGTAGACGCCGGTCATGTCGGTGCTGTAGAGAGACTTGACCTCCTCGAACTTTCGGGTTCCCTTGTTGCAACCGTATTCGGAGAGGAAGATAGGGATGCTGTAGTTGCCGAACTTCTGAACCTTCTGGTCCCAACCAGAGGTGGTGTAGGAAGACGGGTCACACCAAGAGTAGTCGTTGAAACCGAAGAAGTCGCTGCGAGCGGCGTCGTCACCACAGTTCATGTAGTCGGCCATCTCGTAGCGGTTGCTCTCGACATCAGCGGCAGAGTAACCGACAGGAACCTTGCGGAGACCGCGAGCGTTCATGTAGGACTTGATGTCACGGGTGACAGCCTTGACGTAAGGAGCACAGTTGGTGGTCTTGTCGTCGTTGATGACCTCGTTGGCGGAGAAGAACAACAGAGTGTTGTCGTACTTTGCGAACATCTCGACGGTAGCGAAGATGCTCTGCAAGTAGACCTTGTTGTACGACTTCTGGGGCTCGGCGCGGTTGATGGAGTACTTGGGGGTGTTGAGGTCGAGAGCGAGGTAGATTCCAGCATCAGCGAGGAGACCCATGCAGGTGTCGTGGTTGGCGCTGTTGTCGACAGTGTAGATACGGACGGTGTTGATACCGAGCTCCTTGAACTTCTCAATGTCGCGCTTGCAGCCAGCCTCGTCAGCGATGGGGTCCTTCGCATCGGAAGCGCCACCAGGCTGGTAGTCAACACCACGAATGTAGAAACGCTCGTTGCCAGCAAAGAAAGCTGAGTAGTGTTAGTAGGCGATCGTCATCGTAATATGTGGCGTGACATACCATTTCCCTTCACAGTGACGGGGGTGATGGCGCGCTTCTGAACAGCAGCAGTAGGGGTGGCCGCAGCTGAAGCCGCGAGAACGGCGGCAATGGCAAAAGTCTTCATGATGGTCGTGTGTGAGTTGATGATATTACGGTGGGCGGGCGTATGGACAATTGGTGTGAGCGATTGTTATAAAGCGATTGTCGGATCGTCAAGTAAACAATTACAGTCTTTGGAGAATGCAACTCCCGTGAAACGAGTGTAAGAAGTTGCGATTAGAAAAAGGTAGGCAAGGCAAGAAGCACTTGGTTCGTGAGATGAAGAAGAAAGGTCAAAGCAAGATTCCAGGGAAAACAAGCAGGTTAAGCACTGTTTGAAGAGGGAGGCGACGCGTCCAATTTCCTAGTGGAAGGCGCCTTCCCTTTCTGATTCGTTCTTTCCCCGGTGGGGATCGCTCATGCATCGCCCGGCTGGAGGCAAGCAGCGCCAACCCCTGAACAAGCCGCACCAAGCCCACATCCAAGGAGCCGCCAACGCCCATCGGCCCACCTCAAGCCTAGCTAAGAAGAATGGCTCGCCGTGGCGATCATGCTTGGATGGACTGCAGTGAAGGACGCTGAAACACGCGTCTGCCGTCAATCATTCACTGAGTCTGTCGCGCAGACAATGGCGATCTGTATCAAACGGGTTCAACGCATGTCTTTGCCCCATGCTGCGCAGTCTTGCTGCCGAAATAACGGCCCACGGCTAAGATTGGATTAATGACGACATGTGGGTGCATCGTGTAACTGCTGCAGCATGGCTGGCTGGTCCATTGCTGGTTGCTTCCGAAACGGCGATATCTGCCTACGGGTTTGTTGTGAAACGAGGCAGTCGGTCCGGACCTTTGCACCGTCTTGACATCACGACGCTAGGTCTGCTCGATTTTTTAATCGTAGCCCGACGAATCATCATCATCTGCCGTATTTGAGATGCTGGCGCTGGGAATGCGGGTTTTTCGCAATCGACTAGTTCGCCATCTTATTATTAGAGCATCGGTCAACCTCCTCAACACGACGTCCAGCCATCGCACATGAGAACGACTTGAGCATGAACATGAAAGCACCACCCTCAAGCAGTCAGACCTTTGACTGCACTGCCATCATCTTTATCGAAAATACGTGCGCCCGGTCTGGGTTATTGACAATGCTTGCGCCAACGGGATCTAGAAGATCATTAGTGGTTCAGCCTCAACATGTTGGGAACGCGGTCTTTGTTTTACGAGCTTTTCGCCATCATACCATTAGCGCTAATACCTATTCCCTTGCCGACTCCCGTTTATACACATGCGGCGTTGCTGCGGAGTACAGCTCCGGATCATTACTAATAATAAAGAAAAAGAAGTTCATCCACTTCCCCATACAAATCCCCATACAGATACAGAACGATAGTCCCAATGATATCACGTCCCTTCCCTCCTCTTAGGTCATTATAATGCTCTCGCTCCCAAGGTGCTCTAATTTTTCTTCAATCCAAAGTACAATCCAAGTACTAGCGCAATAACGCACAGAATCAGGACGACTGTCAAGAGGATCCACCATTTGAGCCTTCTCGCGCGCCTAGCGGACTTGATTCCCTCGTCCAACTGCTTGTTCGCATTCTCGGTGTCGTCCTTGACCTGCACAGTTTGCTCCTCGGTCCGTTGGATGATGGGCTCTTGGTAGACGACCTGCTCGTTGAGCTGGGTGAAGAGAAGGGCAAGCTCGCCCATGGTCTTCTCGATACGCTGGATGTCGTTGTGACGGGCGCGGACGGCGCCAAGAACACTTGAGGCTTGGCCGCTGCGGTTGGATTTGAGCTGTTGGGCTGTTAGTTATGTCCTCGAGCCACGCGTGATATCTGGCAACTTACAGCTTGTGTGAAGATGCCCTCGTCGCCCAGGTCCGAGTTTGCGATCTCGTTGACCTCGGCATCCGTCGCATCCGGGTTGATGATGCGGTACTGGCGCCCGACAGCCTCGCGATACCTCCTAGAGTACTCTGCCTCCTCTTTCTGGAAGTCCTCTAGCTGCGTCTTGAACTGCTTCTTCAGCGCCTCGACCTGCGTCCTCTTCATCTTGTCGTTGGGATCCCGGACGGCATCCCTCTCCAGAAACTTGATCTCGTCCTTGATTTGCGTGTTCCTGATCTGAGTGGTAGTTACAATGCTCTCAAGTTCGGCGGTGGAGCGGTTGTCGGGCGATGACAGCATGCGCTGGTGGACGCTCGCGATGGCTTGGATGTCCGAGGTGAGCTGGCCGATGCGACCCTTTGCGCCTTCGATGCGCGCGAAGAAGTCGTCGCGATTGAGAGGCTGTGGGCCTGGCGCCTCCATGCCGGGGTTTGCGCCGTAGACACCTCCATTGTTCATTGGCACGTCGGTGTGAGGGACGGTCTGCTGCTGCGTGTTGGGCTGGCTCAGCGCACCGGCTTGCGAATATTGCGACGGCTGCGAGTAGTTGGACTCGCCATGACGTTGGAGCGGCGCGGGAGGGTTGAGCTGTTGTTGTGGCTCGTCATACTGCTTGGTCGCGTCAGTCGTGTCAATTTAGGCCGCGCAGATGCGACTGCTTACTCCTCCGCCATAGGGGTTGGATGAGCCGTAGCCGGTGCCTCCATATGGGTTTGATTGACCACCGTATCCAGCCTCGGCCTGGCCATACGGGTTGCCGCCATACTGGTCGTAGTTGTGCGACATGTTTGGTGTATGCTGGGATGGATTGACAGCGTTGGGGCGATGGTTTCGGAATGCCGCAGTGGAGCTGGAGCTTGGAGAACAGCCGCGGAAGCTACGGAATCCTGCGCTGACTGACGGGCGTGAGCGCGGCGAGTACTCCAACAATTCTTCCGCACAACAAGGCTAGCGACGATGAAATGAACAGCGGATGCCTGTGCTTGGGGTAAGGCAATGCCTCGAAAATCGATTAATTGCAGCGTGCCGCAACCTTGTTTTGATGTGGGTTGCGAGGGAAATTAAGATGAGACCCTGTTGAATCAGCCCAGCTCTGAGCCGCGAAGACCAACGTCACCAATGGGACAAGAACGGGCAAGACACGCCCTTAGTCATCGCCGGCCATGATCGCGTGGCTCTAGCGTGCTCTCCCGCGAGGCGCAGCATCATCGTCTCCATCGCCATCGTGCTGCAGAGCAAGGCAGCTGAATTTTGAGCTCCTTCATTGTATGCTTTCATGCTTCCAATATTGTGTGTTGTTCGCGCCTAAGCCCATGGAACATACCCAGGTATGTACGAGGCTTCAGCGTACCTAGCTCTCGGTCTTGTCGCCCAAGGCAATACGCCGAATGAGGTAATGTCAGATGCCGCTTATGAACTCCCGCGCTCAACGGATACTCAATGCCTATAATCAAGTGCGAAATGATACCCGTGTACTCAAAAGAGACGATCGTGCGAGCTTGCGCCTATGACTGCGCCTACCAGCATACTGCAGTGTCAGCGCTGCGCCTGCGTTCTAAGGCATCCGTTCGCAACAACGACCCTTTTCGACAAGCGTCAATGGCAAAAGTTCACTTTTCGTTGTGCGCGTTAAGTAATCATGTAGGATAAGAAAAAGAAAACATATACACCGAATAATGAACAGTCTCTCCCTGTAACTACAGACAGTAATTCTACTAATTCTCCCCTTCGAAAGTGGACAAAGCCATCTATGCAACACCTACCATGTCCACTGCTTACGCCCAAAACATAGTATCGTCCAGATTCGGATCCCAAGGATTCATCTGGTCCTATTCTTCGAACTTATAGAAGCCTGTCTTTATCTTCTTGAACACCAATTCCGCCAGCTTCTCCTTGATATTCTTCTAATCAGCCTTCTCCCTCTTCTTGCTGTTCCAGTCCTTCTTCTCAGTCTCTGTGTTTGATGCGATCAGCACACTACGCACCTACTCCTTCTTGGTACGAAGCTCCTTCTATTTCTATTACAGTTCATCTTCGAGCGGTTTGTCGTTCTTGATGAAATAGTCCCAGATGTACATCCGATCCCGGTCGCACAATCTGTCAGTGTAGTAGCTTGGCGAGGCGTAGGACACAGTACAGAGAGCGCGGACATATGAGTAGCAGATTCTGTGAGTCAGCTTAAGAATGTTTTGAGCGTAAGACCTCCTGGGATACCATCTTCAAGGATGAAGTAATGGGTATGCTTTGCAGTACCTCTGTAGTAGATGATACTTTGGGGTAGTTCGCCGTTTGCTTGCCCTTTCATCCAGGCTTTGAGTCGTTCGTACACTATCTGTTTAATACAGCTACTCGTCTGCGAAGTTGGCGAAATCAGAATTGGGGACAAGGGCTATACATACCTCGCGATCAGTCAAGTCCACTTTCTGCCGTCAAGTCATCTCAGCACCATGATGCGAGTCACCAACATGCGCAATGGGGTCCCATCAATCAGAAGGCACTTATGTCAGAACTGTGACTCACGCTAAATGCTATACTGGATATTGAAGGCCAAACATGGCCAATCACCGCCCAACGCCCCTGGCCCCAATGTCTTTCCAGAATCCTTTCAACCACCATAGCCAGTGTAAGAGATCGCAGGATGCTAGACACACAGAAAAACTAAAACCTATCCACCAATCTAGGCATCACCTCCTGTCGCCCATCACCCAAGTCAACCATCTCTCTCACTTGGAAACGGGGTATACCCCCTCCTTCTTCCACCACCTAACAAGTGCGCAAACTCCGGTGCCACAAATCCCCTATTACTCCCTCCACCACCTACCGGCATCGGTACCGTATACTTCGTATAATCTCCATTGCTGCCATAATTGATACGCTGACCATATGCATCAACCGTTGGCCTACCCATCGGTCCATTGAACATGGGCCTGTTATGGTTGACGCCCATTCCTCTAGGTTGGCCCCTCGATCTCCTCTCAGCTTCCTCCCTGTCCTTGGTCCTTTGCATACGAGCCACCTCGCGTTTCCGCAAGTCTTCGGCGTCATGGTGAATAGAGCCACCGATGATACCATTCGTGGTTAGGGGAGCGTTGATAGACGGTAGGTTTGAAGCACCACGGATATACCCATCATCAATATCGCCACGGACTTCTAGACCACTTACTTCCCCAGTCAACAAACCCATCGCTTGCGGT